CAGGAAGACTTCTTTGAGGGGTTGGTTGGTTGTAACTTTGCAGCCTTCTACTCCAAATACAGTAAAGAAGGGATTCCCAACATGAAACCAAAGTGTAGAAGCTCAGTTAAAAGCAAAAGTAAGGAAGTCGGAGTCTTGAAAGCTCACTGACGCAACACCTAGGCCACAGAAATCAAGTTCTGCCACGCAGAACCACACTGACATTTTGTGAAGACAAATGAAGCGAAAATTGCAGGGAAAGCTGAGCCAAGGCACATCTTAGCAGAAAAGGGCAGGGATGAGGAAGATGTTTGCTGCAATAGTCCTGAGAACAGACTACAAACAGGCATGCCATGCATAGCTAATAGTGTGACTGAGAGACGAGGCAACGTATGATTTGCAGGGGTCTTGAGCAACATGCAGCTCTTTGAAGATGTTTACAAACCTGTCCAGAAGGTGACGGTACTTCTTGTTTATTCAGCTGCTTCTTTGCCCTGGGTTTTGTGCTCGGTTTTCCCACCAGGCTCTCAGTCAGGTCTGAACTCAGACCAAAGCTCGCTGGATCCTTAGAGAGTTTCTCATAGACCTCCAGCAAACAGTACGCATCTGAAGCTGAAAATAAGGGAATATGAGCCTCAGCTGGTTTCATTCAAAGGTGAAACAGAGGCTTTCCTCAAGCAAGGAAGAGCCCTCACCTTTATAAATGCCACTGAATGCAAACAATCTGTGAAGCTCCAACTCAGTAATGTCATGCCCTGCGCTCTTCTACCGATTCAGAGGGCATCGTAACCCAACGCACGATCACTAAGAGTCAAGGCAGAGGATCTCAAAGAGCAACAGGCTTCTCTGGCTCTAATGTAATGCAAATTGCAGGGCGCCTGCTCAAACCGCCATGTAAGAGAGCTGCAGCCAACCCATTTTGCTCTCCATTGTTAGCGAGCAGCCGCTTGCCCACGGTTTGTCACCGCATCGCAGCTATGGGAAGGGAACTTCCCCACGAGCTGCAGTATTTTAAAAAGTAAGAACTGAGTTGTTTGCAATCACCTGCCCACACACGCTGCCGTGCGGCTTCTGCTCCTCGCAACGGGAACTGTCTAAGTGTCCAAGCCAGTTTGACAAGTCCTAGTGATTAACTTTTGTGGGAACTGTGTCAGCTTCAAGGATAGTTGAATTTAACAAAGGGCTGGTTCGCTTCAGTAGACTGTCCTTTGATGCCCCAGGAAAAGATTTAGACCCAGACTTCTGACTCTGGGGTAATCAGCAATAAATTCCACTGGGCCCTCCACAGTACCAGTTCCACGCTGCAGTTTCTGACGCCATGCCTACCCATTCTTAACCCTGCTCTAACAAGCACTTCACTATGACTGGTTTCCCAAAAAGGCTGTGAAATCAGGCAGAAGGAAGTAGATTTTCCTCCTTTCTGTTACTGAGAGGAGTTTCCAATGAGGTGATGTTTCATCAGGCGAAATCTGCAAAGCAGATGAATTCCTTCATAAGGGAAATAGTGAATCACTGGACAGTTTGAACTTCAACTAAAGCCACGTCCACAAAAGGCCAAACATAACATGCGCTGGCTTCTCGGAACAGAAACTCATCTGCAAAGCCATTTTCTCCCTTTGTTACTCAATGATTTTTGTGGGGACAGAACAAACAGAGACAAGGACGGCCTGGAGCACCTTGCCACAGGCTCAGGGACCAGACCTGCATAGAGGATCTGTTCCTCCCGGAGAGGCCGTTTCTCCCAGTTGGACAGCTGCTCCGTTTTATCTAGAGGTTTCCCCAGCACGTGTTGCACCAAGAGGCTGAGTCCTTTCTCCGGCTGCCTGAACCCTCTCTCCTCACAGCTCTGCTCCGGGGACAGTACGTCGACCTCCCAGCCGCCCTTCCTCCAGTCAATGGCGCTCTTCTGCAGCTGATGGAAAGAAAAGGATATAAAACATATGGTCATAAAACAACTTCTGCAGCACCTCCTATTCCAGTGGGTGGGGCCAGGCAGCAACCCTATCATTTTTATCTCTTGCCTGGCATATTGAATCCCGTTGTCTCAGACAAGGGCTGGGATGGCTTTAGATATATACGGCGTCTGGATATTTGTTTAACAAACACACTCGCTGGAAAGCAATCTGTTTCGTAGTCAGGGAAGGAAAAAAATAAGTGCATTGTTGTACAGCATTACATCAGAGCAGTGGGGCTGTGACCGTGACTCCCCCGAGGTGTGCGCGGTGCTCAGCCACGCTGGAGGCTGCTGGGCACCGAGTCAATGAAAGAGGAGCAGCGGGAGTTCTGCAGCTTTCTCGTCCTAGCCCCAGTGAGAAAAGGTATTCCTGTAACACAGTGGGCAACGGCCTTTCTGCAGCTGCCATTTCTCAGATTAAATGGAGGCAACAGCTCTTGGCAGGTACTTCAGACCCTGCAGCACTTCCCAGGTTAAGCTATCAGACCCAAAAATCTGGGTTCACCCCAACCCACGGCCTTAAACACGCCATGAAATTGAAATGGTTGTCCTTCAGTATTTCTGCGGATTGCTAAAAACTACTGTGTGCAAGCTCAGAGACAGCTGTACTTCAGCTGAACGGAAATTCCTGTGCTGAATCCCCCAGCAGCCCTCCTATGGACACGACGAGTTCTCTACAAATCACTAACACCATAATATCTGCTTCAATCCTGCATGACCTTGGAATAGCAGAATTTCTACAAGAATTTACACTTCTTGAGTGCAGGGACTTACACCCTGAGACTTTGCCCAGGCTGAAAAGAGCTACGTCTCCATTTCAATTGCTTTTTCATAGTTTTCATAAAGGCTATGAAACAAGTTGTCAGTATATCAAGCTCTAACTTTTTAGTTGATGAAAAATGAATGCTTCTGTCTTTCTTTACAGAACTGCATTACCCTTGAAACCACAAGTGGAAAAGGTCTATTTACCCATTTCGCCATCTCCCTGCCAATACAGGACACAAAAAGACAACGCTGTGAATTCAGGAGTTATCGAGGAGCACGTGCAGGAGACACAATTTTTCCATATCTTCATGTGTTTGTCCTTACTTGTTTGTCTACTGTGAGCAGGTCCACCACACCTCGTGCTTGCTTATTCGTGTCTTTCAAAGCAGAGCATGTGGCTGCAAGGCTGCTAAGGTCTCCAGACATCCCATAACCTGAAGGAAAAAAACCCAATCAAAAACCAGTTCAGATTACACAGGTAGGAAAACTCAAATCACAGCTTACACACTGCAGCTTTTTCTAGTTCAGAGTCAAAATAGTGACAATGTGTGTATAAATATTGGTGGAAAGACTGGTCAGACAGGGAACAGGGCAGACTCCTGTCTCTCCTGTCCCTAAAATCCTCTGGCAGATTAAGATTGGGAGAGAAGAGGTGGATGAAAAATGCTGAGTTTAAGAAAGGCAATTACCAATTTTCCCTTGAATTCTGAGTTCAACAACTCCTGCCAAAAGCCTCCCCACAGAATCCCAAACCAGGCGCGGTAAGCTGGAGAGCTCTGGTGACCAGCGCAGTGGCTTTGGGACAGGGCCAGCACTTTCAGGAAGCTCTGGATGGCACGCTGCCCTAGACCACTGAGGGTTGGGTGCAAGTCAGGGTTCAGTGTGGAACTGAGACAACCCCATGTTCGAGGGGGGAGGCTAAACCAGAAACCTTGGGTCTGACCTGAAATAGGGAGACATTTCTATCGCTCCCAGTTACACTGGTCACCCTGTTCCTGGTATGGCAGTAGTTGAATACCCAGGGCTACAGCTGGTTCTGTCACAAGTGGATGTAGAGAAGGATAACTCCAGGAGGATCTAAGAATTACATGAAGTAAGCTGTGTGAAGCCTGGAGGCGGGGAGAAGGGCCGCATGTTACCTAGTTTAGTGATGGCTGGATCCGAATAGAGCATGTGGATGAAACGGGGAAGCCTCTCCTTCTCCTCCTCCGTCTTGGCTTGCTCGAGGAGCCGTGGCAAGTCAAGCAGGAACACCTCATCCTTCAGAGCGATTTGAAGCAGGGAGACACGGGGCTTCCCCACCGTACCGAAAGAAGGCCTCCACTCCATGTCAATGCCCACAACCTGCCCAGGCTGCAACACAGACAAAAGCCTTCTTCACTTAGAGACTGTCTAAGCTTGAAAGTAGCCTGGACAGTCCCAGTCCAGAGGACAAGCATTTCCTTTCCACAAAAGGTGTCCCTGCCCATGGCAGGGCGGTCAGAACCTGATGATGTTCAAGGTCCCTTCCAACTCAAACCATTCTACGATTCTATGTACTGCATCTCATTGCTAGCACAGACAAGTAACTCTCACAGCACATCCGAGTTACCCCTTTCCTGGTACAGCAATTCCCAATGCACTCCCCAAATCAGAGAAGCCTAAAGGAAGCAGATGTTCCTGACCTGGGGAGGAGACATCTGATGGCAGTGGCCCACACACAGCCCTGCGTACCAGCCTCCAGTGGAGCTTCTGCTCCTTGGTCCTGCGAAGTGTGGCCAGTAGGTCAAGGGAGGGGGTTCTGCACCTCTGTTCTGCTCTTGTGAGACCCCACCTGGAGTTCTATGTCCAGCTCTGGGGTCCTCAGCACAAAAAGGACACGGAGCTGTTGGAGCAGGTCCAGAGGAGGCCACAACGATGCTCAGAGGCTGGAGCAGCTCTGCTGCAGGACAGGCTGAGGGAGTTGGGGCTGTTCAGGCTGGAGAAGGCTCCGGGGAGACCTTCCAGCGGCCTGGAGGGGTTGCAGGGAAGCTGGGGAGGGGCTTTTTGCAAGGGACTGTGGTGACAGGATGAGGGGCAGTGGGTTTAGACAAGGGCAGGGTAGGTTTAGGTTAGACATGAGGAAGAAGTTCTTCCCTGTGAGGGTGGTGAGACCCTGGCACGGGTTGCCCAGGGAAGCTGTGGATGCTCCATCCCTGGCAGTGTCCCAGGTCGGACTGGATGGGTCTTGGAGCAACCTGGGCTGGTGGGAGGTGTCCCTGCCCAGGGCAGGGGGGCTGGAATGAGATGATCTTTAAGGTCCCTTCCAACTCAAGCCATTCTACAAATCTGGGATCCCACAATTCTAAGTGAACACCAGAGTAACACTCACCTGCAGCACCTTTTCCCGGCACTGCAGCGTCTCTTCCCATGTCTGTAGGAAATGAATATTTGCCCGTGGAATAGGAAGCTGGTAATAGTCCCTCTTCTTAGTCACTTCATAATCATCTGCTTTTGTGGCCTCTTCTACCCTGCACAGAATCAGATGTCTCAATTTTAAGCCATGCCATGAGGGGAAATCATGAATTAGAGGCACATCAGGAAACCCCTTACTTCACCTTAGCCCTCTGCTTCCCCATGCTACTCAACTCTTTCTCTCACTCTCTCTTTCCTCACTTTCCTTGTAATCTCAGTGTCTTTCATCTTGACTCATCCTCTCCTTTTATTCCTGTCGCAGAGGTGGCACCGTGTCCAAGCCCTCGGCATGCACGTGCGCTGTACCCGCTGCAGAGAACACCCACACCAAAGCACTTGCTGGAGTCAGATCCCAAGCCCGGACCTCAGTGCTCGGCTCTTTCCCAGAGCTGATGCAACTTGGATGACGAAGCCAGGCAGCTGCTCCCATATTCAGAGATAACACATTTTAGATTTACTGCTTTTTGCCCTCGAGGTTAACATGGAAGTCTGCGAGCTCCCACGGTGGAATACATAACAGAGAAGTCCGCTCTGACCAGCGCTGCGTCCAAACAGGAGCTTCACGCTTCCCCACAGCACAAACCAACTCAGAAAGAGACTCTGGGACTGCTCCATGCTGTGATCACTGGGTGAATCCCCTCCCTGTTTTACAGGGCAATGGCTTGGAAAGGCTTCATGGACTTCCCTGATCTGTCCAGCTTCTCCTCCTGTAAAATGTCCACAGAGGCTGCATAAGAACATCCATCCTGTGTTGCATGTGGAGGAAATCAGAGAAGTTCAGGAATAAAGTTTCAAAACCTTTTATATTTAGGGAAAGCTGAATGTGCAGGCAGAGCGCCTTGCTTGTGCTACTCCCTCCACTTGGGTTTCAGATGGCACCACACAGAGAAATCCCGAATCTGCGTATTAATACCCTGGGAATGCTGGAAGATGCCTGCAGAAATGAGCTAACTGGTTTCCTACAACGGGATCTTACACAGCACATTTTCTTTTCCAAATGCAGCAGAGTCTCTCGAAACGGCCTTCTCACTGGAAGGTCAGCACATTGCCGTGGTGTCTCCGCCAGATGATGCAATCAGAGGAAAGAAACTAATAAAAAATATCCAGCTATTTTGGACATATCACAACTTTCTGGATAGGCTCTTTCCCACAGAGACTTTAAAAGGTTTATTATTTGAGAAACTATTTACCAGCCTTATGTTTAGGGGACTGCGTGACTAATTTTCTAGTGTAGCAGCTTTCACTGTACAAACACGCTTTTCCGTGGGTTTGTGTGCATGGCGAAGTCAATATTTGTGTAAAATATTTAATGAGGGTGTGCAGTCTCAGGCCTCCAGGAATATTCTCACCTGCAGAGTTCAGGAGCCGCATGTGGTGTGACCGGTGGCAAAGATGATGTCATTTATACGCTGGTACCACCTTGTTCTCCGCAGTGTGAACACCCTCTCTGGGAACCTGCTGCTTTGTTAGCTCAATAAATAAGGCAGGCAGACTGTTTTATTAGGTTCCTTGGCTCCGCTGATTTTATAGCAGCTACTGCAGCAGGTAACCTGACTGGATGAGTAAAGCGGGGCACAAAGGGTTTTATTCATCTGTCGCAGCTCCTCACGAACGGCAGAACACGTGCCCACCAGCACGCCTTCACTCCACCCGCACACAGCGCAGGACTCCCAGAGCGGAGAGAGGTGGTGATGTTTTTCATCTTTCTAGATGCACGGTCTGTGGCTAAATCACACTCCTGTTAACCACCCCCTTTGTGATCGGAGGGATTACAGCTCATGCAAAAACCTTCTGGCTCCCAATCGGTGGCTGGTGCAGCTTCAGGAGGCAGAAGGAGGAGGAGGGCAGCTCCAGCAACGCGTCAGAGCTAAGCACAAGCATGTCCCAGACAAACAAGAGTTTCCTGGGCTCCAAGAAAGCCCTGCACATTCTGGAGAAGTGGGCCTCTGCAGACAGCATTTTGAGGGTGATTACCTCTGTGACCTGTTGCTGAGGTTGCACAGGGGTTGAACACGAGTCGGTGCACGTCTGCACCAGTAGAAAGATCAGGCCCACGAAGCTCAGCACACGAGCTGTTCAAGGCCATCTGTGAGACCCTCCCCAAAATCATCAGCGTTAAAAAATAATAATACACCGTGTTCTCGTTCACTTTCTGCATAGTTCAAGTTAGACCAACCCATGCTCCAAAAATACGATTTTTAGTGATGAAAGTTGCAGTTTTTGCATAAAAACCTCTTCCAAGAGATGGAAATTCGCTGTAAGGTTGAAGACAACAAATCTGATGGTAAACCAAGCAGGTAACCTTGCTCACTCTAAGGCTTAATCTTCTTAAAATAGTCTCCTTATCCCCTAGGGAGGTGGTGGCACTGACCAGGCAGCCACTCACAGATCCTAACTGTCAGCTGGAGTTCATAAATCTGACACAGGACACCAGAGAAGGAAAGTCACAGAATCACAGAATGTCAGGGACTGGA